GCCCCTGGCCGCCCCTGGCCGCCCCTGGCCGCCCCTGGCCGCCCCTGGCCGCCCCTGGCCGCCCCTGGCCGCCCCTGGCCGCCCCTGGCCGCCCCTGGCCTTGGCTGCTTCCTCCAGCTCAGACCGAGCCCTGTACGTCCACAGGAGCAGCTCAGTCTCCGTGTTTGGAGGTGGATCGGCGCGGTCCATCGGACCTGTGGGACCACGGGGTGCACCACGAGGTACTGCTCTGCCCCGACAGCGCTCCTAGCCATCCCAGAGGTGGCTGCAAAAGCCACAGGCCCAGCTTTGGGGATGAGGGGTGAGCACTGCTCCTGCCTCGGGGACTCATCGGTGTGCAGGACTTCACCTGCAGCTCCTGCTGTGCTCCCTGCTTCCGGGACCCCGGGGGAGGAAAGGGCAGGCTCCTCAGCCCTCCCCCTTGCTTCTGCGTGGGACCCTTGCTGTACGAACCACCTTCCCACATCATCGTGCGAAGTGGGGTCAGCGACCAAGCAAGGGAATGAGGCACCAGGCAGAGATGGAGGCTCTGAGGGGGACAGCCTGGGAGGGAGGGGAGCTCCTCAGTGAGCTGCGCGGCCGCTGAGTGTGAAGGCTGTGTGTAAGCCGAGGGCAAGTCGAGACCATCGGTTCCCACGTGCAGAAAGCTACACTTCGGGCCTCTCGAGGTGTTCGAGTTGCACTCTGGTGTAAATGGTGTGCTTTTGCTTTTGCTAACTCCGTGCTGTGACTTCCCCAAATCAGATCTCCTTGAGCCGCACTGAGAACAGAAACTGCTGCTCTGGACTCCTGCTCCACCTGCCGGATGGAAACTCCTCCTGGAGCGCCTCTTAGCTGTGCTCTCCGAGCGCCGGCCCCTCTGCCACAGCAACATCTGGGCGCCCACAGGAGGAAGACGGCAGCCCTCGGCCTCTGGGCCGATCCTCAAGACGTAGTGAGCTCAGGTGGTTGCCAGGTCTTCCATTCGGAATCTCTGGGAGTTGGGGCTCAGGGGACCTCAGCCCGCTCCTGGGCTGGAGACGGAGCCCGGGCCAGCTTCGCAAGGTCAGTTACTCCTGCTGGCCTGAAGGGAAACTTCGAACCCAAAGGTAAGGCCACCTCTCCCCAGCCGCCAGAGTGGGAGGAAGCTCTGTGATACGGTCGAGAAGTGCGCTGCAGGCCACACACGCGGCCTGTTCCCAGGCCCGCTCTGTTCCCCGGCAGAGCTCCACGGGCCCCCCTCAGACAAGCCTCCTCACCCCGAGACTGCAGGCGGCACCCACACCCGCGCCAGGAGCCCAGGAGCCAGTGTCGGGCTTCGCAGGATCTCCCAGTGCTGGCTGCTACGCAGAGCCGCTATTCCCGTCAGTGTCAGCATCTTTATTGGTGTGGGAAGCTAAACAAGGTCGTTATTTCATAAGATAAACATCCATTTCAGGGCAGCTGCACAATAGCCTTCTTTAGTTGTAGGCATTGAAATATGCATTGATAAGCTTGTCGGTTTCCTATAAAAACATTTCTAAGATCTGTAAGTTATTAGAAAATTCATGAAAATAGAAACATTTAAAGTGATCTTTATTTGATATAATGTAGGTCTAGCTTTAGTTAGAATTGGTTTTAGAAAGTAGGACGTTTTAGTCTATCTTTTTAATTCTGTTTTTATTAGTACGTTTGTAGTACAGAGCGATGACATGCCTCACGGGCAGGGAGTTGGAGCGTGTACACAGCACATCCTCACTATGTCCTCTTCCCCTTCCCTCCCTCCACACTCCCTCCGTGTCTTGGTCACTTGGTCACTTTTCCGCAAAAAATAAAGTTGCATAAAAGCACAAGTATTAAAGGCAAAGGCATTAAATACTGAGTACCCCCTCCTGGTTGTTACCATGCACGACTGTGTAGGACCCAATCACGACTGTGTCGGCTCTCACTGGGTGGTGGGAATATGGACGCTGTGCAGTTCTTTCCGAAGCTGCTTTCCCGGGCCTCACCGTGCCCTGGTGGAAGCTTTCACGTGGGCAGAGCAGGAGCAGCTGCAGCTCGGGCAGGAGGATCGGAGATGCTCGTTAAACGGTTACCAGCACACGACTGTCTTTGGGCATCATTTGTGTTTTGGTACTTTTGCCACATTTTAAATTACAAGTAACTTTTTCGTACCACATCCTCCTCCTCCTCATATTTAACAACAGAGCACCATTGCTCTGACCTTGGACCTCAGCCTGCTCTGCCGAGGCGGTGCTGTGTCCCTAAGCACACAGCAGCGCCCAGGGGCCCCTGGCAGACTCTGCCGCCCGTCCTGAAGGCCAACACAGGGTTGGATGGCGCTCGGGCGGAACGAGGGGCGCTTCCACTCAGAACGTGAACGCAGGCTGATGGCGCCGATTCTGTACCAGTGCTTTCCACTTGCCTACCAAGAGTCACCTTGGAAATTCTCTTGCAGTAGATTCAGGCTTGGGCCCCGAAATCTGAATTTCAGAGTGCGAGGGAAATCTTACAGGGAAACACGAGCCAAGTGCAAAGAGTACATTTGGGATTCACATCTCTGTTTCCGCATTTTCTCACCTCGTGACCTCGGGCAAGTCACTCCAACTTACCCAGCCTTGGTTTCTTTATTTATATAAGAGAAAAAAGAAAAGCCTTTTTACTTTGTGTAACATAAATATGTTCACAACCTACACGGGAGGAGAAATTTGAAATTAATTATGCTTGTATTGGCAATGTGCTAAAATACTTCTGAAATCATACGACTTTCACTTACTGGTTAGTAATGATCACTAACACAGTCACCCTGGAAGTTGCTAAAAGTAACCCGATTTTGTATTTGATGCATCTGAAATTTAGAGATGTTATCCAAGATGACTCTGATAACACCCAAAGCCATAATTCTGACCCATGTTCATTGCTTTCAAAATTATGTGGCCCCTGAATTATCATAACCTGGGAATCACACTCTCATTGGAAAGATGCTTCGGTGCAAGGCGGGCTCCGGGCCGGCTCTGGGTGTGGGAGGTGCAGGCTGCGGACCCTGAGGCCTCCTGCCAGCCCTCCCCACTTTGGTCCGCGGCCCGCTATGGCTCACACCAGGCTGCCTCCCCATCCCTGCTTGCTTGACACCCACACTGAGGTGGGTCTGGTGAAGGGAACCCTGCCCATCAACACCCTAGCTGCATGCTCAGGCCAGGATTCATGGGGCACAGTTTGGGGCAGCAGACCCGGGGCAAGGGCGGGACTAACAATAGCGTCTTTTTGGCTCCAGTGATTAAACACCGGGAAGCCTTCAGCTGTCCCACTGATGCGCTGTGACAGAAGAACACCAGTCGGGCAGCACCTGAAGAGTTCATGCTCTGTGCTTTTAATTTGAATCTGACTGCAAAGCAATTGGTTTAGAAAGACCATGTGGGAAATAGAAATGGTGACGTGGACTCCCAGTCCGGACATTCAGATTGGCAATAAATGCGGTTACATTTCAGTGAGCGTCAATTTGGTTTTCTTTGTAAGACACAAACATTGAGACTGTATTGTGGGCCAGGCAGGGTTGCGACATCCTGTCTCACAAAATACAAAGGGCTAGAAATGTAGCTTGGTGCTAGAGGACTTCTGAGATCAATCTCCAGTATCGAGAAAGGAAAGAAAGAAAGAGAGAGAGAGAGAGAGAGAGAAAGAAGAGAGGGAGGGAGGGAAAAGTAAGGGAAACAGAAGAGAAAAGAAGAGACAAGGCAGATGTCAACGTTAAAGGAGGTCATACAATCTCTTTCTTTTTTTCAGTTTGAGGGAAGAAACCCAGGGCTTCGCACTATGCTACGTCTTCAGCCCCCTTTTTTTAAAAAAAAAAAAATTGAAACAGGGTCTCACTGTATTGCTCTTTCCTAGGTTGGGGTCAAACCTGCAATTCTCCTGTCTCAGCCTCTCAGAATGCTAGGATTACAGGTGGGTACCAACACACTTGCTCAAAGTTAATATGAGAAGCAAACAGCCAGTAAATGTCTGTTTTCTCAGCACCCTGGGCAGCTGAGACAGGAGAACGAAAGTTTGAACTCAGCCTGGGCACCCTAGTGACTTAAACAGAAACTGACTTAAAAAATTGAAAAGAGCTGGGGATGTAGTTGAATGTGAAGGCTGTGGGTTCAATCCACAGTGCTGCAAAAAATAAATACATAAATACAATTAATCTTGCAGAAGAATCTCCATGGAGCCATTTTTAAAACAATTTTCTCACTCATCCATTTGCAGAACAAATACTTGCATCTGAGGTCATGTGCTCATCACAGAACAGCAGTGTGCAAAACCCAGAGGCCTACAGCGTATTCGGGGCGGGGTGTGGGGGGGGAGACACTGGACCGGTCAGCGAATACCTGCAAGGACGCAGCTTGCGGCCAGTGCCCGGCAGGAAGCGAACAGGTGGGGAAGTGAGAGGGCCATGGGAGGCGCTTCTGAGCTTGCTGGGGTCACAGCGGATCTTTCTGAGACTGTGGCCCTCACATGGCGATAGTGCTGTAGATGATGGCAACCTAGTGTAAGGCAAAAGTCACTGCAGACAACTAGCTACGCGTCACTTCCACAAATGCTCCCATTTTGTTATTAGTTGACATGCAGCGAGTCTCCAGGTAAGAAAAGGTCATGGAGGTGATTTCTCCCCATACCTGCACTTTATATCTGAGTGATTATTTCTGATTTCATTTTTCCCAGATCCTCTTTTGTTGCCAGTTCAGAGAGTCCAGGTGGTTGAGGATCAGATTGTTCCATCTGGTTTCCCTTTGGGGTTGCTGTAGGTGATCCGGAAGTCTGTTTTTGAGGCTTGTTTACGTGTCTTCTCATTTCCGTGGGGGGGTTGCTTCTGGCGCCCATGCGGCTCACCTTCTCTGCCCTAGGAGCTTGGGATGGCAGCAGAGGAGCTTCCTTCTGGGCTCTGGCTTTTGATTTTTGATACCTGCACTTTATAAATGACAAGACTGAGGTCCAGGGGTGACTCAGAATTATATCAGTAGCAAATAATAGAAGTAGGCTGAGCTTTTGGACCTCAAATCCTATCTATTACCTGTAGCACTTTCCAGAAAGATGCATATAAAGAATGCTGTCCTATCTAATTTTTACAAGTATACCAAAATCAGGTACAATTAATTTCATGGTATTTTTATTTTTTTCCCCAGATGGAAAGTCTGGAATAAAAGAATGAACAGACTTTAGTATTGTATGACATACATGTTCCTTTTACTTGGAGTATGGTTTGGAAGTGCCGTTTAATCCCTCAGAGATTTAGACTCCTTATTAGTGAAACTAGGAAACTTAGTAATTGTGTTTATTATTTCAATGTGTAAATGTAGAAAACAGTGAGAGAGTATAGTAAAAAGAAAGTCATAGAGTGAAGTGTTTAACCTTTTCACTGCAGGAGAGCCAGGTTGGTGGTTGGATTTTCCTTTCAATGGAACAGGCCCGGGGTTAGTAACAGAAACCCCAGGTCTGCGCCTGGAGAAACTGGGGTAAGCAATTCAGCAGGCTGAAGGCGAATTGTGGTTTTTCTTTTTAAGACACGGAAGCTTCCGGTTTCCTTTAGTGTCTCTTTTATTACACTCACTTTATTGCATCATAAGTTCTGTGGTCATGGTTTCATTTTTACCATGTGAACTGGATTATCCCATTGCAAATCTCCCTCAGGTTCTTGGAAAAATATCTGAACTGGATAAGATGTGGGACATCTTTAAGGAAATACCCACCTAAGAATCTGTCAAATGTTTAGCATGGTTTGCCAAGGCTTTAGGGAGATCTTAAAGGGCTCTGCAGAAAGGTCAATTTCCAGGGCAAGTTTTAATCTCAGGGACTCCGCAGAGTGCTCATTTTTTCAAACATGGAGCAAGCCTGGTTTTTAAAATCACAGGCCTTCCTCAGAGGTGCCTCAGGTAGGCTTCTCTTTCCCTAACCCAGCTGGGATGCCACGTACCAGGCAGGAGTGGCTGCACCATGGAGAAATTTCGAGCTCCATCTGAAGAAGGGGGAAGAGACTGCTCCGAGGTGCTGGTCCCTGTCCAGCTAAAGGCTGCTTTCCTGGGCCCTCCTTGCACAGGGAGCTTGGTGGCAGCAGGATTTCCCAGGAGAGCCAGTGGCTCTGAAAGGGACAAGAAGAGCCTGAAGAGCAAAGAAACATGGCAAAGCAGTCTCACTTCCGTTTTGCCTCCTCCAAGGCTCTTTCCTTTTCTTTAAAGAAAAAAGACATGAGTTAGTACTAATGTGGTGAGCACAGAAATGAGTCATTTATACCGGTGGCTATGTGTCTGAGTTCATGGGCTGGTTGAGGGTCTAAGTTCAAGCTCTCATTATTGTAAGGGCCAGGGATGTAGCTCAGTGGTGCCACTGCCTGCCTGACAGTGCAAGGTCCTGAGTTCGATCTCCAGTACCAAAAAATAAAGAACTCATTATTGTAAGATGGAGTCACAATTAAAAATCACATATAACTGAATTAATATAATTCTAAGTCAAAAATTGTGTAAAAAATCCATTCACTGTTCTCTATGGAGAAAAGTGTTTATTTACCAGTAGCTGGGTTCCATGAGATGTGTTCCATGTGGTAAACAAGCTCTTCAGAAAAAGTACATTAAGAAGTAAACACATAGTTCATAGACTGTGCACATGCGTGTCATGACAGCAATGGTTTCCAGGCTTTAGCATACGGAAGAAGTTGTGAAAATTGCAGATCCCTAATCTTACCCCATAAGCTCCCGAATGCTTCTGAAGAAAGAATCAAACCCTTGGACTGATATTGGAAGCCCTAAGCCTCTCAAAAAGAGAAAGAAGACTTAGTTTGGAGTATATAAAGTCAAGGTGTAGGAACACCAGTGTCCCATGCTGAGAGCTAACGTTCACATTGGAAAATGCTTGCCAGTGAGCACCTGGTGCACAATTTCCATCTAACTGACCTTTCATGTTAGCTGAGCGGCAGCAGCTAACTGCTTAGAAACCTGCAAGGGAGAGAAAAGGTTGCCAATGGGATCCGTCAACGCAAAGCATCTCGCAGGGTAGCAGGGAAGATAAAATCCCTTTGATGGCACTGGAGAACGTAGCTCAGGATTAGAGCCCGAACCCCAGCACCACAAACACATACCACACCCCCAGTCTTTCCAATGGACAGAGCTTTCTAGGTCAGAGAAGAATCTCTTCGGATTCTAAGAGAAGTATTTCCTATGATCTGCAGTCTTTCCAAAAGCTCTCTATGTTTTCTAAAGTTTGTGTATCTTTAAAGGCTGGGACTTTTGGTCACCCAAGCCATTATTCTACATCTGCTTTCAGCCTTTTTTATTTTGGGCAACTTATTTAATTTCTGTCTGCCTTAGTTTTCTCACATATAAAATAATGGATATTACTATATTTTATATAATAATTTTAAAATATTTAAAATATTTTATAATAAAATAAATATCCCTTCAACTCTAGAATAGACCTTTATTCCATGTTTTAATTTCTCTGAAATGAGTGTCTCACTATCAATAATTAAAAAATACTATGTCATAATTGATAGCATTTTTTCTTAGTGGAGGTGAAAATAATGGAACCTCCTACAGAGGATGTCTTAGAGTAGATGAAATGTGAGACTGACAGTCTTATGGGGATTAACTGAGCTAAGAAATAAAATGCTTAGAGCCATGACTGGTTAATAGTAATCGCATGGTAAATATAATTTATTATCCTGAACCATGGATGAATTGTAAATTAATTTCCCCTTGTTGGCCATTTCAATTGTTTTAATTTTCCTTCTAATGTGTATGACATTGAATGTGCTGATAAACAAAGATTTATGTGTGTCTCTAAATGAAGCAGAAAACTGTGAAGACCCTGGACAGATCACGCTTAACAGGAAGACAGGAGCAAAAAGCAGCTTTTAATGCTGGCAGCTCAGCAAGTGACTCCTGTCAGTCTTGAGAGCGCTGGAGAAAAGTTTGTTTTTCTTTGCATACCTCTTTTTACATCGATGAAGTTTAATTCCATCGGAGTTTCCCTGGGAATAGAGCAAGCAGGATTTGCACAAAGCAGAGCAGTGGAGTGGGGAGAGCAAAGAGTTCCCACAGGACTTTGAGTCCATTCTACTCCTTTGGTGACAGAGTACAGGAGTTGTCATAGCCACTCAGGTGCATTCTACAAAGAGCACAGCTACCCAGTTAACCCATAGTGGCCCAGTTCCATATGTAGGGGAGGGCTCCTCTCTCATACATAGGATGGATTCCTAGAAGTGGAGGTACCAGGTCAAAAACCAAGAACAATTTAAGGGATGGACTTGCAATCATAGTGATTAGGAAGTTAGTCACACTCAGGTTAGAAAGGTCACTTACTCTGACCTCGGTCATTTTCTTAAGATTTTTTTCAATTTTTACATACATAAAATGGGAAAAGTAACATCTGTAGGGATATTGTGATGTGATAAGACACAACATAGTGATGGCACACAGTAAGCTCAAAGTCACAGTAAACAATGTTTGTGAAGAC